TTTTTTTTTTTTTTTTTTTTTATTTCTCGATAAAAAGTGTCTCTTTGCGAAAAGTATCTCCGTTCCAACGGGCAAAAATGCTCGAGGTCCCGAGATCAGAGTTTGTCCGTTCGTGGAACGGGTGCAGTTATGTCAGTTCTGTCGCAAGCTTCGCCGCGGCCAGACGTGCAAGTGGCGTTGCTTACGCGCCGGGGTGAAACTTGCAAGCTCCCCCTTATCGAGCTTTCAAATGGCTGTGCCTTTTAGATTTTGACATTTTCTTCATCTCCCCTTCTCCTGTTGTACACATTTTTTTTTTATTGCCTTTGTATTGTTCAAGTATATGTAGTTCCGATACGCCGTTTTCGCCACTAGGAAGTCATCCCCCGACATGCCACGAAAAATCGGATTCAACGTCGTATACGCAACCAGTAAGAGATCATCAGATTGTGATTGTGAAATATTGTATATCGAACGACGATAACCTCGAGTTGTGCGTATATCTCTCCTGATTCTCCGAGGATTGGCAATATTGAACCGCACACATACGTAGTATTGCGAAAGAGAATTCATCAGAAGGATATAAAAATATAAGGAATTGTTTGCACGCGAGACATCGATTTTTTTTTTCTCTCTTTCTACACGGAAAAAGAATTTTTTCATTTTGAAGTTGCTGTTTTTAAGAGGAAGGAGGGGGGAAAAAAAAAAACGAGTTAATAACAACGAGTCGACACGTGCTTCACCGCATCTCGTTAAAGATTGCATACGTATCGCTCTCGAGTCTGTAATAAAAACGTAACCGGTGTCCAATTTTTTTTTTTTTTTTTTCTTTCAAACGATTAAATATTACACGGTGATATGACACGTTAACAAGTTTCTTCGATTGTTGTGATTGTAATTTTGCGAAGCAAGGCACGGTATCGCGTGACGAAGTATTTTTAATGGTCCATCGTTGAAAATATAATTTTCACAATGTTATCGATTACGTGGAAATCTTCTCCATTTTTATCCACAATAGAATGCAATCGCGCAAAGTAAGAACGATTTGAAGATAAAACGAAGAAAAGAAAAGAAAACGTGCAACGAAATTACAGTTTTTGTAACAAAATCGGAAATACATTCGATGGAAAAAATATTCTTCGAGCACTTAAAAAAAAAAAAATATTATTCGCTCGTAACATTCATGATACGATATTTGTGATAAATGATAGATTGATTTTTTTTAAAATACGTTTGGTTGATTTTTGTTACATTTAAATTGCAAAAAACATTTAAACGAATAATCTCTCGCAGGCGAAGAGGATAGGCACTCCTCGTTAGAATTGAATGTCCATGGGCCGACGGTAAGGGGTTGGCAAAGTTCACGAAGATGTACATATCCCCAAGAACTCATTCTACGCCTACACGGCCCGACGAAGCTTACGAGAATACAAGTGTTGGCTCATCAATATTTAATTCGTAAGTTTACAATCATTTCGAACAATCTATAACCCGCTTTTTCACAAAAGCCCTACTTTCCATTCTCTCGTTTATTATCGAGAAATTCATTTCACAAGAATTCATTTAATGGCCGCGATATAGTGTGGAAAGTTTCATGATTATTCGTGAAAAGCAATTCGGTGAACAATGAGAATCGAATTAGCACGGGAACCCCGGTTTCCCCGAGGCTAGATCGTTTTCTTGCCCTTCTCACTTCACCCTCGTTTCTTATTTTAATCCGGTATAGTTGAATACCATACCCAACGTCGCAATACCAACGTTTTCATTGTTTACGAATTCCCTTCCTCTTCCTCTTCTTCTTCTCCAAACAATGTGTTAAAAGAGAGACAGAGTCTAGTTTGAAAATAATAAAAATTGCTTGCAGCTGAAAAACTTGAGATTTGGACTTCGAGAGAGGAGAATGCCTCTGTGACGACAGAGTTTAGCTATCTGGGTTACATCACGTTGTCCGATAACGCCTCGACCATGTACAAAAGCAGAGAGTTGAAGAGCGTTGCTCTCCCGGAAACGGAGGCGGTCTCGCTTAAACTGAGACTTCACAAACCGCACAGTAACGCGCACAATGTTTATCAACAGGTATCCCACGACAACGGTGAATATTAACGAGATGATGGAATTTGAAATTTTAAAATTATAGGTCGGCCTTATCGCTATTAATATTCTGGGCGAGCCTTACGGGCAAGAGCTGACCGGTCAAGGAGATGCGCCGTACAATCCGCATTACACGTCCCCCTACGACGATTTGGCGTTCGAGATGTACGTGGACCGCGAGGTGGCCAAAATCATAAGGCAGATGGAAGCGAAAAAGTTGCAGGCCGTGGAGGGTGAGTTTGGAGGAATTGTACGAGCGTTTAAATTTTAAACTTTGCCTGCATTTTTCAGAGGAGAGATTCGAATACGCTTCGAAGCTGAAAGTGGCGATGGAGAATTTAAGGAAAGCCGGTGAACGCCTCGGAAAATACGAATTGGAGAAGAAATACGCCATAGCGTTGGAAGATTACGACAAGGCAAAAGCGAAAAAGGCACAAGCGCAACAATACAGGCAGCAAGTTTATCAAAGTTTAGAGGTGCAAGATCTGCTGGAGCTTCAAGGGGTAAATATAATAAAATGTTAATGCGAATTTGATTCATTTGACAATCACTTACCGTATATTCGTGTTGGAGAATAGCCGTTGGAAAAAAATAACAAGTCGTCTGTCGAGGGAAAAGAACCTATATCGATAGATACCTGCACCTCGAACACAACCACCGTTCCTGAGGATATTACGTCACCTCCGAGATTGGTAATTCCACCTAATCGCGATGGAGCTATATCGCCGACTGGTCCCGCGCATCAACCACCTGTTTCACCTTTGCATCAAAAACCGAATAGCCCTGGTAAGGTTAATTGAGAATAAACGAATTTTGAGATGATATTTCGAATTTTCTTTTTACTTTCTTTTTTTTTTTTTTTCAACAGAAGTGACCGATAGTCCGACGAACGGTGTGATAGAAAGACAGAATAACTGTAACAAAGGATCTCTTAGAAGGAAAACGAAATCGGCAGGGCCGACGCTTCGCTCAAGCTACGAAGCTTACGAAGAGAGAACGATTCCTGCTTTAAGACAGTAAGATAAGGAAAAAAGTGGAAAGTAAAAAGTATGTAAAAATTTATTAAATTGTATTTCAGTTCTCATACGAACGAATTCACGAGGGAATGCCACATGGACAATTCGGAGACGAAGGTGATATCGAAGTTAAACGACAGAGAGAAAAAGCAAGCTGCCTTACCTATCGCTGTTTTTGGAATGGAAATGGTAATGCAAATTTTCTTAATTTCTTAAACGAGTTAAAATTAGTGAAACGTTAAAAATTAAAATTTATTTTTCAGGTAGAGAAATTCTATTCGAAACAATTCACGGATAAGGAAGAGGGTCTGATGCAATTGAAAGAAGAATTAAAAACCTTTGATCCAGAAGTTTCGAAACATTCCGCGAATAAAACGGCCAGAGCTACGATTTTGTTGTTACACAGAGCCCTTAGGGACAAAGTTTTCAGCGTATACAGTCTAGCTGCACAATTGATTAGAATTTTTTTTTCAGAATTTGCAACTAGGTACTAAATCTAATAATAATATTTCAATTAGACGCGAAAGATAAATCGTAAATTATAAATATATTCTTACCATCGTAGGGTATCTTCTACGGAGATTGCGAGAAGTGTGGAGAGATTACTCCCAGAATTATTGACTAAATCAGGGGATACCACTCCAAGGATTCATAACATGGCAGTGCACACGATACTCAGTATGGCAGATTGTAAATGTGTCCGAGAATTGCATATTATACCAGTGCACTTAACGAGACCTGTTAGTAGTAGCACTCATCAAAGATTGGCACTGAGTAGGTTAGAAATGGTGGAGCAGTTAATTCTCAGCCATGGAATATCTACTGATAAACAAAGGTGATTCAGAATAATCTTAATCTTAATAGTTCTTTTATAGTCGGATAAGCATTGAAAAGTAATTGCTCGACCACTGTTTGTGACAATTGATACGATCTTATTATTAGTGAATTGTCACTCGCAGGGGTCCACATTTAACATTTAAACTGAGCCTTTAAAACGCAATTACTCTGATAAGGCATTGTAATTGTTGTAGTGGGCTCACTTGTCGAACATTGTCAGAATTGGGTTCTACGGGATTGCATCATCCGGCAGAAGCAGTGAGAAAAGTTTCGGAAAGAATTTTAGTATTGGTGTACAAAGTGAACCCTAGATTGGTTCGCAAACAATTGCCTCCTGACGATGATATTACCAGGAGAAATTTATTGTATCGTCAACTTTTTCATGAATTTGATTTGATTGATCTTGAGGTATAGATTTTTTTTTTTAACGAGAAATTAGATACATATAAAAATTATGTTTCCATCGTTTCTTACGTATCAAATACATATAGAGAAAAAAAGAAATAGAAGCCAGTCACAAAACGACGACACCCACACGGACAAAATCAACGGAAAATAACGTGGCAAATTTAACGAAATCTCCTTCGAGGACAAGTCCTGTTGTTAGTACTGGAAGCTCAACAAGTATAACATCTCCGTCCGAGAATAGTACAGAACATAAAGGTGACAAGTATGTATCGTATTTATACTTGA